CTGATCGAAACTTTCCTCGCCAAAATGTTCGGCACGCTTTGACACCGGCAGGGGACGAAGACACTCCCGCAATCTGCGCTGAAGGGCATCCAAAAATTTCTTGCACAAAGGACATAAGAGTCAACCTGATAGACCTACTTCAGCGGAGCGGAGCCTGTAGTGACTGCGCCCGATAAAATCCGACAGTGAATGTGCAACTGATATGCTTGAAGGCTGTTTGCTGCACGCTGGATGAAGGGTAGCCATAGGCCTTGAAGTTTAATATCATTCCCCCCCGGGAGCGTTGGCAAGCTCGGGCCCCGGTTTGAAAGGAACGCTTGAGCGACCGGAGAAGGCGGCTTTTCAGTTACAACTCACTTGACCCCAGTCCGCAAGACAAGCGCAGCAGGGCCAGACCAAGACCAACCGCCGAAGTCCAACCACAAGAGCATGGCACGAGATCGGCCCGCGGGAGTGGTATAACCACGGCTTCCGCTGAGCCCCTGCAAACGCGCTGACAGCAGAATGAAAGCTCTTACTCAAGTCACCTGGGATCAACACATCTTGATGCCGCGGTCTGCCTCTTATTGTCGGTTCCGAAGTGCGCCACCACCCCCATGCACACCGTTCGAGAGATCCCGAGGCCAGGTAGAGAGAGCCCCCGCGGATCCTGTCGATGGCCCACTGGAGCTCCAAGTAGCAACCGTTCTTGCTGAACCCGAGGCCATAGCGACGACCCCACAAATGTGCGGGATTTCGGCGGGAGCAACACCCTGGGCCTCCATTCCATGAGACACGCTAGAAAAGGACGCCACTCTTGACCAGTATAGCCCGAGCCTTCCTGGAAATGCTCTGGGCCCCTAAGCGCATGTTGCAATGCTAAAATGTCTTGACGCTCTCAGTTATGATGCCTTGGGTAAACGAAACTTGCCGATACCTCCCAAGTGCGAACGAGGCCCCACGGTTGGCGGGGGGCCCAGAGTGCGCCCCTGCCAGGAACACTAGATCCTTCTTGACCGCATGGAACACAAACATCACATTCGCGACTTCGAATATCTTCCGCTTCGCGAGCGGGCCGCACAAGGTGGAAGAGATGCGGTGAGCCACGGTGGTCGCCAAGGTCTTGAGCTGCGCGACGCACTCGCGAGAGTTGAGGTGCCACGTGCAGAGCGAGAGATCATCGACATGGAGCCCCTGGGAAGTCCCTGGACGCGCGCCCCCCTCCACGATGGCACTCCGCACGAAAGCCTTCGCTTCGCGCGCGGCCGAGGCGCGGCCTGAAACTATCCCTTGCGCAGCATACAAGTGGTTGGAGTAGACTCCATCGAGCAACTAATGGCGATTCCACTAGCACGTGGACAGTGCATAGAGCGGCACGCGCCAAGGAAAGAATGACATGAACCCCTGCTGGGCTAACTCCCGGCGCCCGATGCGCTCGTGGAACTTGTGGAGATCCCGCAAGAGGCTAATTCTCCAGCGGCCCTCCCAGACACTGCCGACTGCCCCCAGACACGCCCGAGCTGCCGCAGCCCTGGCCCAGGAAGAACCGAGGCCCAGGGCCCACTCGAGCCCCCCAGGTCCCGCAAGGGTCGCGATGGATCTGCCCGTGGAGCCCCTCGAAAGCGCGGCGGCTAATGGGCCCCCATCCGCCAGGTTCTGGGCCGCCCCGGGCAACTCGTCAATGATTCACGAAGGAAGTGAAACATCCAGGATAAACAAGATAACGCCGAGTCTCCGAGCGGGCCGAAGTGCCTCGGGCGGAAACCACGGGCACGCTAATCGCAGGAACCTGGCGCTAACGTGCCTGAGTCGATCCCCTCGCACAGGTCCTGGAGCGCGGACAGGAGAATCAGGACACTGGAGGCCACTGCCGACCGGTGAACTCGAGGCCTTCCACGCCCCCGACCAGGGCGAAACTTCAGCCCGAAGCCAAGCAGAGAGAGCACTGAAGAAACTGTCTGCGCCAGGGGCAACTTTTCCATTGACGAGTTCCCCTGCCCTCAAGAACGCGAAGGCTCGCCCACCTCCATTGGTGACTGATTCGCCGCGCCAGGACGTCCAAAATTCCCGAAGACGACTACTATCTTCAAGTTGGCCTTGGCCCAAGGCCCCACATTCTCTAATGCCGCATCGATAATGCCTACTGGGTCATCATGCCATTGGGGAGACATGAGCCGCGCGGCAATGGAAGAGGGCGAACGGCGCCAAGAATGCCCTCAACTCCGCCACAAGCGCTGAAAAGGTCAGCCTGCAGCAGGTTGATCGCGCCATTGTCGGCCTCGCCGGAGGCCTGAAAAACAGCGCGCAAGTCCTCGAGCCGAAAGGGAATCCACTGAGTCGTCCGACCAGGGACAGCAAACGCACGCTTCTTCGCGGCCCAAAGCTCAGAAAGACGCGCAGGCTTTGAATTGCAAGGGCGCCCCGCCAGGGGCCGCGGGACATTCGGTTTGCGCGGCGGTAACGAACTCATGCCATGCCTTCGGGACACACTCGCGATAAACTTCCTCGAGGAGCTCCGCGCCCTTGCCCTTCTCGGCCCCCGCGGCCAGGAAATCGCGGCGCTTGGCCTCCGCATCTGGAAAATCAGCCTTAGAAGGAATGGGCGCGATGCCTCGCTGAGCAGGGGCCTCCGCATAGCCCTTGGGAACCGAAACGAATACGTCAGCGACGGCCTGCTCGATGACGAGCCGATCCAGCCGATAGGGGCCGAGCGAGGCGCCCAGGTTCCTCTGGACAACGTGAAGTCGATGCTCGCGGCGGCCCCAAGGGCAAAACATGCGGGAGCAGCCGAGGCTCGCACGGCGCCTCCTACGACGCTGAGCGGGGCCCCATCCAGGCAGGCGCCCGGCGACACGTTGAAGTCGCCCCCGAAGACGAACGGGAGCCCGCGCTTGGAAGAGCCCCCCAGAAGGCGTTCAGGATCTCTTGGTTGACACCTTTGCGAGCCCCATGGGGGTCCTTGAGATGGACGGAGCACAGCGCAACCAGACTCACGCCTCAGCCAAGGAGAACATGATCGACCCACGAATCCGGAACAATTATAGACATGCAAGGCATGGCAACGTTTCAAAGACACCTGACTGGGCGACGGGCAAACGAAACGCTGAGTGCATCGGTCTTGATGTACCGTGCCGAGGGCTGTGCCGTGCAGCGCCGTGCTGCATTGCGATGCGCCATGCCGCGACTGTGCTCTATAGCGTTGTGGACCGAGTCCTCCTTTGCATCCGAGTCCTGACCGAACTGATCATAGCAGCTGCCCCAGAGCTAAGTGACAGGGGAGCACGCCAGGAGGGCGCGCCGCGAAACGCCACAAAAAGAACGCGCCAGGCGACGTGACAAGGGACGCGCCACGAAGACGCACCGCGCGACGTGCCGAGGGGACGCGCTACGGAACGTGCCAATGGACGCGCCACGGGACGCGCCGCCGGACGTGCCACGGGACGCGCCGCGCGACGTGCCAGGGGGACTCGCCACGGGACGCGCCATGGAACGTGCCAGGTTGCAATGCTGAGTGTATAAATATTGATGTACCGTGCCGAAGTCTGTGCTGTGCTGCGCCGTGCTGAACTGCGATGTGCCATGCCGCGAGTGTGCTCTGTAGCGTTGTGGATCGAGTTCTCCTTTGCATCCGAGCCCTGACCGAACTGATCTGGATCTTGAGCTCGAGCCGCCCCAGCACATAGTAACTGCCCCAGAGCTAAGCGACAGGGGGGCACGCCAGGAGGACGCGCCGCGGAACGTCCCAAGGGACGCGCCAGGCGCCGCGCCAGGGGACGTTCCACTGGGGCGCACCGCGGGGCGCGCCGAGGGGACGCGCTACGGAACGTTGAAAGCGTTGTCCTTGCGCGGGGCAACCATCTTAGACACCCCCCTGGACGGCCTGGACACCTAGCAACACGCGGTGCCAGCTCGGGAAAGCATGCTATATACACCCCTGAATAGCCTGGACTCGTTACAACACGTGGTCCTTGCTCAGAACAAGCATGTTAGACACCCCCCCACGGGTGGAAAAACACGTGGCTCAAGCTCGGAACAACCATGTTAGATATCCCCCATGGGTGGCCTGGACACTTAAAAACATACGGTTCCAGCTCGGGGCCACCATGTTAAATGCCCCCCCCCCCCCGGTGGCCTGCACACGTGAAAACGTGAAACAGCCCACCCAGGGGGGGGGATATCTAACACGCGGTCGTCTGGAGCGCAGGAGGGCCCAGGAACGCCCAGCCCAGAGGCGCCCGGAGGCCAAAAAGTAAACGAATCGATCACAAATACATATATTTAGAGGCACGAGGTCACCATCTCTCTCCAAGCGGGGGGCGGCGGAAGGTGGCGCCAGCCTAACTTGAAACTCGCTTTCTTTCTCTACCTGAACCGCAAGCACGACGCCGCCGCGGGCGGCGGCGAAATGCGACGGCGGCGTCCGCGCACGCAACAATCTGATGAAGCGGACGCCGCATCTCGCCCCCACAGAGCTGTGAAGAGGCGAGTGAACGGGGAGCGAAAGAGGGAAGGGAGGGAGGGAGAACTCGAGCGGAGAACACAAACATAACGGGTAAAGTCAGAACGGCGCCCCCTGACTTTGCGCCGCCCCCGCCCTTCCCGCCCCGCCGACCACTTAGAAGACGGGGGGGGGGGGGGGAGGAGAGAGGACCACGGCCCAAAAACTTCATTGTTTACAACAACACACACTTAGAGAAACGAGGCCACCATCTCTCTCAAAGCGGGGGGCGGCGGATGGTGGCGCCAGCCTAACTTGAAACTCGCTTTCTTTTTCTACCTGAGCCAAGCACGACGCCGCCACGGGCGGCGGCGAAATGCGACGGCGGCGTCCGCGCACACAACAATCTGATGAAGCGGACGCCGTATCTTGTCCCACACCACCGCTTTGTCTGCACTAGCGCCTGGCTGTCGGTGGCGCCTGGGCTGGGTGGGAGGGTCTGCGGCGCCCCCAGAAGCCGCCGCACGTTCACTGCCTCGATGAGGCTCCAAAAATCATAAGATCAGTATCTACACAAACTGCATCACTCACGAGCCCTTGCCGGGCGGCAACTCTTCTTCCCCATCAATTGCCCCCCGCGCTCGATGATGTCTGGCGGGAGAGCGGCGCGGGCGGCCACCAGAGCGTGCGTCTTCATGCACCTGAGCCCGCTCTTCTCCGAAGCCCACCGCCCGCGCCGCTGGATAGCCCACGCCGTCCTGTAGCCCGTCGCCGCATCATGGCTCGGCCCTGAGCGCCTGGCCGCATGGGGCGGAAAGTGCTCGACGCCAACATCGTCGCAGGCCCGCCTCAGAGCACGGCGGTAGCCGCCCACCGAGCAGCTGAAGACCCGGTCCGAGGGGCCTCGCTCGGCCTTCCTGCGCACGAGCATGTCGCTCACATGCCGACGGTCGATCAGCACACCCTGCCTCGCGCCCGTCTTGGTCCTCTCGCCGCGCTCCGCCACACCGAGTCGTAGGGCCACGACCTGCTCGCCCGCCTCGTCCACGTCGATCACGATGTCGGCCGCCTGGAGGGAGAACAGCTCCCCGGACCTGAGGTAGGCGCCCAGGGCGAGCTCGGCGGCGTCCGCAGCCTCCACGCCCCCGGCCAACCTCATGGCCTCGTCCAGCACGGCCCAGAGCTCGAGGGCTGAGGTCCGCCTTCTCCTGCAATGCGCAGTCGATGCCAAGCTCGAAGTGCTCGGTTGGACCTCGGCAGCCCTGTCGAGAGCTCAGGCCACACGTAGGCGAGCCCGTGCACCACGAAATCTCCTCTGCGCGGGCCCACCTCCTCGTCCTCGACCAGGCGGCCCAAGTAGCAAAGGACCGAGGCGTCGATCTCCTCCCAACTCATCATCGGCAGGTTCCCCTCCAGCGCAAAGTCCAGGAAGCGGCGCACGTTGGGAACGTAGCAACCCAGCGCCGTCTTGGTGGAGACCGAAAACGGCAGGAGGGCCAGCCCATGGGTTACTCCTTCCTGCCGCGGCGCCCGCAGCAGGTGCGAGCGTTCCGCGTCGTTCCTGCGGTGGGTGTTGCCCATCTTGCGATGGTGAGCGTGGTGGCGAAGCCTCTCTTCCCCGACGGCGTCAGATAGAAGGGGTAGCAGCAGCCCACCCAGGAGCACAGACCACCGCGGGCAACCGGACCTGCACGCGGCCCCGGCCGACGCTTGCTCATCATCTGAGTCGGGCTCCCTGGGAGGTGAAGGGCGTCGACGGCCAGGCGCCTGATCTCCAAGTCGAACCCGAAACATCGCACGAAGATCCTCCAGCTCGGTCCAGCGCTCCCGTTGTAGCCTCTGCCTCTCCGTCGGGGTCGCCTCGCGGAAGCTCCCGATGAAGCGATCCCTTTGGTCCTGCGTCTGCCTCCACGCGCTGCTGCAGGGGTCCCTGACGATGTCCGCGATCGCGTGGCGAGGGAGCCCGTTGATGAGTAGGCGCCTCAGGGCCTCGCTTGCACCACTCAGGAGTATATCCGTCATGAAAGCTACGCACCACTCCTGCCACTCGGTGCCATCGGTGGCCCGCTGCGTGAGGTCGCTGTACCACTGCTGAGCCCAGTCCCGTAGGTCTTGCATCATGTCTGCGTAGTCTTGCACAGCTTGTCCATCGCGAACGGGCCTTCATCCTCGGTCAGCCAGATGCTCGAAGGAAAGCGGCAGGTAGTGACTCCAACGACGTAGCGTCTCGGCGCCTGCGCTCCAGGGTCTCTGAGATCAACTGCTCCACGGCCCTCTCGGTCAGGTCGGCCTCCCGTCTCTCCTGCATGGTCAGCATCGCGTCCACGTGGCACTCCGCCAACATCCTGCAGAATTCGGACGAGCACGCCTGGGCCACCCTGGTCCGAAAACGGCCGCTCTCGCCCTTGCCGCAGAGGCTCGCCGAGTGGTCCCCGTGCACGCAGGGGCGCACAAACCGCTGCATCTTGAAGGCCGTGCCCGTGAGCGTCGTCCGTCAACTTCAGCGCGGGGCAGCCCCACATGCACTGCGGGGAGGTCACGCGGTAGGCACCCAACTGCGCCTCCCAGTCCATCAGCTCCCTGGTCACGAAGATCGAAGGAAACGGCGGACACCCCGGGTCGGCAGGATGCTCGACAGATACCGAGCCGCCCTTGAAACCGATAGGCTTCAGGATCCTCAAACTGCTCAGCAGCTGCGCGTTCCCATGCTTCACCTTCCTCGCGTCGCCCACTCGCAAGCCCGGCCGACCCGCAGCTGATGTCGTAGACGCAGCGGAGGGGGGCCTCCAGGCTGGAAGCGAAGCCGCGACCAGATAGAGCATGAAGGGTCTGAATGTCCGCCGTCCGTCTCCACTTCCGCCAGCAGCTCCAACCTCCGCACGTTGACCCCGTCCGTCAGGTCGAACTCTGCGCCGAAGCCGATGTCCACGTTGGCGCAGATCATCAGGTAGCCCCGCGAGCCCGAGATCCTGAGCAACCAGTCCCCCAGGTCCCCGATGCGCGTGTGGCCGCTGCAAAGGTGGAAGAAGCGCAGCACCTTCACCGGGATCGAGACACCCATCCTGAGCGGCTGGAAGGGGTCCACCTCCGCCAAGTCCGCCAGGGCCTCGATCCTCGACGCCACCTTCTCCGGCAGCACTAGCTCGTCCGTCCTCCGCTCCTTAGGGGCCTGGCCAATCGGGAACCCCCCGCTCGGCCCGTCGCTGCGGTTGCGGTCCGACGGCACCCAGCGCCAGTACTCCCGCATGCCGCACCCGAGGTCGAGGGCGGCCATCCTCCTGCACAGAATCAGGATGGGCCGACTGGCCGATCTGCCCTTGCTGAAGCCGCCGAGGCAGACCATCGAGTCCGTGATGCGCAGGTGCCTCTTCCCCCAGCTCGCGCGGCTGCGGGCCGAGCGCCTCGCGGCGGCCACCCCCGCGCGCATCTCCAGCAGTTTGATGTGCTCCTTCTCTTCCCATCTCCAGCGCACAACCTCCTTCCACCGGGAGATGTTGTCCCAGCACTCGTATACAGGAGGAACGCGGATCCGGGCGCTCAACTCCACATCGCCGCCCACGCGTCTGAAGGCCTCCCCCTCGCACCAAGCGTCCGCCGCCCAGGACGAGGAGATGCCCGTCCAGACGGTCCAGCCTCCTCGAACAGCGTAACGGGCCTCTCGACGCTGCTCCTCCACCGTGGCCACCGTAGAGATGAGCGCACCACCGTAGAGACTCGCGTCGAACATCATCACCGTCGGGTCCCAGGGCGTCGAGAGGTCCACCGAGATCAGCGGCGCCATCGCCGCGGCCGCAGCCAGCTCCCCCAGCACTTCCCGCGGGACCTCGCGTCGAGCTCCACCCCGGAACTCCACGCATCGAGAGTGCACGTCCGCGAAGACGCTCAGCGCACCGCGGCAAATCAAGAAGCCCCAGGACAGGATACCAGCGATCCGCGCGACTGTGTCGGGCAGCTCCCACTTGTGGATCAGGATCTCCCGTATGCCGAAGACCGCCAGCCACATATTGTCCTGATTCGGCGCCAGACGAGTTCCCCGTAGGTGACCACCGATCATGCGAGCGTCCACCGAACAGGCATCCTTGCGCACCTTGAAGCCCGCGGCGACCACCGACTCCTTGGCACCAAACCAAATCTCCTCCACCGTCGCCACCGCCTCCTGGCCAGGCTGGGTCGGGAAGTCTAAGCCCAGGATGCCAAAGTCGTCGATGTACCCGTCGTGCGCAGCAGGTAGCTCCCGACTGAGATGGGGTAAAGGCCCGCCTTCGGCAAGTCGCTGGCCTTCTGAAAGCGAAGAAAGCCCTACCTGGGGCCCAGAATTGAAGATGTCCTCCATGGTAGTCTGAGCCATCCAGCACGCCCAAGAGAAGCCCATCAAAGCGACCTTCACCCCGACGTAGGAGCCGCTCCCAGGCAACGACGAGCCTTCGGGGAGCAGCGCGTCCAGCGCGTCGCCAGACACGCTGGCAAGCACGAAGTATGGCGCCAGCTCCTCCCCCAACTCCAGCGTGTAGTAGAAGTCGGGGAGATCGCCCGCGCCGAAGCGCATGCTCACGCCGTCCTCCTTCATCTCCTCGGACACGTCCAGGAACGACATCGCACTGACCCCGCCCATGGCACACCAGGGAGGAGACCGCCACCGCATGTTGGAACGTCTCTGGTCGAACACCAACCTCAGCGTCACCTCGGGCTCGTTCTCCACAAGCTCAGCCTTCTTCACAACGCAAACGGGCCCGACCTCGTCCACCTTCTCTGCAGTGCGGCACAGCATCCCCGCTAAAGCCATCCTTCGAGCCAGCTGTAACATCTCCTTCTTCTTGCGGAAGTGGGGGTCCACGCAGTTGCGTATCTCGCAGGCCTGAACACAAGCCTCGCCATCCTCCCTCAACATCTCCTCCTTGAACATCTCCCACTTCTGTGTCACTCGAGGCGGCACAGACCTCACACTCACAGGTCTGGTCCCCGGGGGAGGTAGGGCAACTCGATCCAAGTGAGCTGGAAACGTCTCGCCCCTGTCCGGCAGCCGTCCACTTCCGCCAGCACTCCTCCTCCGAAGTTCGGCCACCCTCTGCTTGAAGGTAGACTGGGACTGATTGCCCGCCGCAGCGGCGGCAGGGCGCAGCCGCAGGAGCGCGGCCCCTTGCGAGGGCGTAGTCGACGGCGGCGACTGGCGACGAACCTCTCCAAGCACCCGCCGAGAGGTCCCCGCCCAAGTTGTCGGGCACGATCTCCTGGCCCCAGCAATCGGCCAGGCCCAGTAGACCGTCGTCCAGACTCCCACGGTAGAGCTGCCGCAACGCCAAGAGAGAGCGGTTCGCTGTCTCGACCAGCTCCATCTCCTCCTTCCAGCGCGAGAACACCCGACGAGAACTCGAAGCAGGCCGCTCCGGGCGAGCGAACAGCACCACCTCGGACAGGATGTCCCGCCGCCGAGACATGAAAGCCCAAATTCGGCGCGCACATGCTCGCGGGCCAGACGACGGCGATGATGCGAGTCAGCTGCAGCAGAAAGAATATACTAGCCAGAAGACGCCGACGCGCAGAGACCCCGCGACGCCAGCTGCAAGGGCCCCCCGATTCGACACCGAGCGGCCCCCACTGAAGCTCCTTAACTCTCACGGCGGGGCCACCGCACCACCGTCTAGGTCGGCGCGCGCCTTCATCAGCTGCGCGTCGCGACCCATGGCGTTCTTCATCTCCTCCTCGGCGCTCATCACCCGAATAGTGCTCTCGTCGGCGAGCTGAGGGTCCAAGCGGCGCGCCGCCTCCCAGTCCACCTTCGACTTCCAGTTATTGGCATCCTCGGGGCGGCTCCAGTCGTCGCGGCTGTTGACGTTGCGGTAGACCCTCACGATAGCGCACCCGTTTCGCACCAGCCGCTCGAAGCTCACCAGGTTGAGGAGGCCCTTCTGACGATCGGTCATCAGCATCGTGTCCACCGCGGCGAAGGCCGCGATCATCTCCCGCGCCGTCTTGCAGTCGTTCAGCCCGCGGTCCCTGATGAAGTCGCGCGCCCAGGCCTCGGCCGTCTTCCCCGACGAATAGATCTCCGACAGCACCTCGGCCGAGATCAACTGGCGGTAACCCTCGGGCATGCGGCTGTTCCACTCCTCGGGCTCGATCTCTTTGCACTCGTCCAGCTGCTCCATGAACACCTGCTGCGGCAACTGGGCCTTGAAGCGCATCCGCCTGATAGCCAGCTCGGCGGCCTCCGGCTGGGAGGTAGCGACGCGCTTCTCCGGCGTCTCCATCATCGCGGCGGGGGTGGTCTTGGCGGGTGACCCCGGCACGGCGACCGCAGAAGACGAAGCACCCGCCCCCTCGATCGCGGCCACGCCCTCGCCAACACCCGCCTCCGCAGGAGCCCCCCCTCCAGGCGGGCCTCGAACTGGTCCAGATGGGCGATCACGCACTCGATCACCTGCTTGTTGGCCTCGGCGTCCGCGCGGCCGCGGGGCCCAGAGAAGCTTCCAGCACGTCTCGACGCAGCTCCCTCGACCGCTCGGCGGTCCTGATCTCGCTGATCTCCTCCATCATGGCCTTCTGGGACTCCACGAGATCGTTCAGCTGGCTCGCCAACGCCGCGCTCTCCCCACCCGAAGGGTAGCCAGGCGGCGGCATAGGCGGAGGCGCGGAGGCTGCCGACCCGACGGGCACATCCACACTCGAAGCGCTTGAGGACCCAATAGAGGACTCCCCATGCTCTCCACTGTCGGACCATTCGTGCGCTGCCCAGACGGTAGGAAGGATCAACGCCAAGAACATCGCCAGCCAGCGCTGGAGAGGCATGAGCTTCTGCGCCCACTCCTTCCACTCCCAAGGGTAGGCGATCCACTCCTGGACGATCTCCGAGCTTTCCATGAACGCATCCTTGGCCATGACCAGGTAGCTGATCGTATACACCCACACCTCCTTCATATACTCGATCACGCCCAGCAACACCAGCAGCTCGTACAATGCGAACAACGCGGCCAACACACCCAGGAAGCGCTTGGGACCCCTCAAAGACCACCTCAACGTCTTGAGAGACGAAGCCGCCGAACTGAGAACGGCATACAGCACGTTCACCGCCATCGCCTGCTGGCCACCCCTGCCGGGGCGGTATAAGGGCAAAGTCGGCACCGTCGAAGCCCGCAAGCCCTCCGTCGCCTGGCTCACGTAGGCGCCCCTCTGCGCCGACGACAGAGGAGGCATCGGCCGCCAGCGAATCCCTGCCACGGGATCCGTGAAGATCGTGGTCTTCGCCGTGATGCAGATCAGACCGAGGCTCAGGTCCGGGCCGATGACGGCCCACACGTTGCCGCTCTTGCGGCGCACCATCTGCACCTCCACACCGTCGGTGGCGCTCTGGCGGTAGAAGCGGCGAGACCATGGCTCCACTGGCATCTGGATCTCGAGACCCTCAGGCTCGTCGACCGACTCCGGCTCCACGATCGGGTCGCTCACCAAAGAGAAAACCGACCACACCAGGAGCCCGAACGGCCAGCACCCGAAGCGCGCCGTCTCGCAAGCTCCCACCAGCGCGCTCAGCGGCAGGCCCAGCACCTGCCAGTCGTCGGAAGACTTCAGCTCAACCAGCTCCCACGAAGAGCCGCCCGAGCCATCAGAATTGCCCGCGCTGCTGCCTCGCGGAGAGCAAATGAAGAAGGGCTCGGGCGAGGCCGCGGGAAGCTCCGCGGGCATGCTCGAGCCAAAGAACTTGAGCGCAGAACACAAACATAACGTGTTATGTCAGAACGGCGCCCCCTGACTTTGCGCCGCCCCCGCCCTCCCCGCCCCGCCGACCACTTAGAAGACGGGGGGGGGGTAGGAGGAGAGAGGACCACGGCCGAAAACTTCATTGTTTACAACAACACACAAACTTTCGACGTTCCGTTCCGAGTCCCAGGAAGGATCCAGGAAGCCCATGTCAGACACCCCCATGAGCGGCCTGGACACGTGAAAACACGTGGCCCCAGCTCGGGGCCACCATGTTAGATGCCCCCCTGGGCGGCGTGGACACGGGAAGACACAGGGTTCCAGCTCGGGACCACCATTTTAGATACTCACCTAGGTGGCCTGCACACGTGAAAACACGCGGCTCCAGCGCGGGACCACCATGTTAGATACCTCCATGGGTGGCGCGGGCACACACTTGGTTCCAGCTCGGGGCCACCATGTTAGATGCCCCATGGGTGGCTTGGACACGTAAAAGCACGCGGTTCCAGCTTAGGACCACCATGTTAGATGCCCCGCCGGGTGGCGTGGACACGTGACAACACGCGTTTCCAGCGCGGGGCCACCATGTTAGATGCACCCTCTGGGCGACCAGGGTACGTGAAAATACGTGGTTCCAGCGCGCGACCACCATCGTGGACACCCCCTGGGTGGCCTCGACATGTGAAACACGTGGTTCCAGCTCGGGCCCAACATGTTAGATACCCACCTGGGTGGCCTGTACACGTGAAAACACGTGGCTCCTGCGCGGGGCCACCATGTTAGATGCCCACCTGCGCGGCCAGGACACGGGAAACGTGGTGCCAGCTCGGGACCACCATGTTAGATACCCACCTGGGTGCCCTGGACACGCGAAGCGACGCAGTTCCAACTCGGACAGAACATGTTAGATACCCCCCTGCGTGGCCAAGGAATTCCTGGCAAAACAAACGAATTAGTCGAGACATCCTCGAAACTCCTGCGCGCGGGACGCGGCGCGCGCGAGACATCCTCGGAATTCCTGCGAGCGGGGCGCGGAAGCAAGCATTTCCCATGAGGCGTCCTCTGCAGTCTGGCCCCCCACGAGGCCCCCGCTCGAGACATCCCCCAGCTCTGCATAACCAGCGCTTCCCTCGAGACATCCTCAACAAATTCTGTTATATATATTAATAAATTATATATATATATATAATATATGTATATATATGTATATATCTAATATATGTATATAGAAAAAAAAAAAAAAAAAAAAAAAAAAAAAAAAAAAAAAAAAAAAAAAAAAAAAAAAACGGTTCGCCTGAGACCTCCTCAAAAATAGTTCCGCCGACCTCCTTCAAAACCGCCATTCATCGCAGGATAATTCCGCCGGCCTCCTCCAAGTCAAAAACGGGGGTGGCAATGCTAAAAGAGAACCCTGGGCCCACGCCCATTCCTGGAAAAAAAACATCTAGAGAGACGCTGCCGGGAAACACTTCCGCAGAGCTGTTCGGGGGCACCGCGGCAGATGAATGCGCCCGCCACAAGATGGGTCGCCTCTGTCTGACCCAATGCACTCACAGCCAAAAACTCGCCACCCAGCTCCCTGAAGCCGAACAACCGTCTCGCGATAGAGGCCACCTCCTAGTCTGCGTTCCTGCAAGAAAACAACGGTGACAGGGGCCTCCCGCATGAAATCATGGAAACCTGGGACGCCTTTCTGTCTGCTCTCGAGACCTTCACGATCATGCGATTCTCTCACCCAACTAGAACCTTTGAATGAAACAAAAATGACGTCCTTCCGTCCTCCAGAAGGACCAGTAGAAGTATCCAGCCCACGAACGTCGACTTCCCTCTGAGCCAAACCTGTGGTAGTAGACCCCAGCTGAAGATGCCGTTGGCGCGGCTGCGCGGGCAGCAGCCCCAACCCCGTCTGCCGCGGCCCCCACCACACCAGCAGACATAAATGACTGAACACTGAGCCCGAGCGGCTCCTGCCATCCGGCCGACCAGCATGAGCGAGTGGGCTCCAGAGCTCTACGCGCGGTCGTCGCGCCCCGAGATAAGGGCGCTCTCTCGTCAGATTCGCAGCTGGCAAGGCAGCCCTCGCAAGGCACAGCCTGGTCGACGAACTGGAATTCGGGCCCGATCACGTCTGCGGTCCACTGCAGCTCGAAGACTCCAGCATTTTGACCCAGGAGTAGTCATGCCACTGGTCGAAGAAGTGAAACCAGACAAATTCAGACCTGGAGCACCCAAGTCCAAACATTAATGTTCTTGATGTTGGTCATGATAGCGAAGCTCAGAGATCCGCCTCTTCAGCTCCACCTGCAACTTCCCACTCCGCGCTCGGGTGCGTGAAGTCTGGGATGCTATTCCCAGTGGGGCGCCCTTCAGGTCCTGGTGAACGTAAACGCAATTTCTTGCTGGCAACCATAATCGCGTCCAGCAGCTGGCGCTTGACCTGGTCAGTGGCCTCCTCATCTTGGCTCAACGCGTCGGGCAAGTCGCACTCATCGACCTCCATGCGGATGACCTCCGGCTTGGGAGTAGACTTCTGCCCGATGGAAGTGCTGGGCGCCCCCAAAAGTCCCCGGTACTTGGACTCCAGGGTGGTCCTGGCGTCTGATGCCTGCAAGCCTGCAAGCATGGTCTGAAATTCGTGAATGTGGCTGCGGAATGCCTCGAGGTCTGGTAGTTGGCCAGGAGGACCTGCAGCAAGTTTGGCAGCCGCTGCATGCCAAGCCTCCTCAGCCGCTCGGCGTTCGGCCCCAATTTCCTTCTCGAGTTCGGCCTTGCGGTCCTTCATCTGTTGACGCTGGTCCACGAGTGCGGCATGCTCACCCTCCAGTTGCTCAATCTTCTTCTCACGACGCGAAGCCTCATGTTCAGCACGCCGAAGGTGACGAGACAGA